TGAATTTCGTGCGCAGAAACTCGAAGAAAACTGGAGCACAATGAAAGAGGTGTATCAGCTATCAAGGTCGCCACTTTGAAACTACCACAGAAGAAGCCGTCGTCGTGCAAGAATGATAGATCAAGAGGATCTCGAATTTTGTGTACAAAAACCGAAATAAAAGTGGAACGCACAAGAAGGGATGTATCAGCTATCAAGGGCGCCACTTTAAGACACATTCAGCTGGTCTGAATTGATCGGATGCCTTGTTTCTAGGGCATGGCATGCACGGAGTTCGCAAGTGGCAAAGTGTGTGCAGTTCCTCACAGGGTTGGCGTCCAGAAGACATCAGAAAGTTTGCAGAAATTTCAGGTCAAGATATCGTCTATACAATGCTGCGAGTTGTGAGAAGCTGTCGTTTGCGGAACTTTCGCGGATTGGTAGCATGCGATATCAGATTCTGCCGTTTAAGTCACTGACACGCCAAATAACCTGATATAGGGCACGTACGAGTCGCCTTTAACATAATGGAGCAAGTTCATCCGTCTAGATATAAAAGATTTCATGTTTGAATTGGTAACGAACAGTGGTAAAGATTTTTTAAATAATTGCAACGTGCAGGATCAGGTCCTTATACTTTACTGACGTTATGAGTTGTTATCGTGGAATCATGAGAATATTAATATTTATACACTCGCTCAATTTTCGTAATTCATGTTTCCTTCATTCAATTTAGAAACTGAATTTAAGGAAATACATATATTTCTCTATTTTGTTCTTTCTAAAGCAGTATGAAAGTATCACTAAAATCTAGACATGATAAAATGAGATGTAACGTGCCTTAGAAAAATTACTATACACCACTTTCGTATCGAAAATGATCCCGATAAGTCACTTTTCTCGTGACGTTAAAATATGCGTTGTTTATGAACGCGCAACAATGAGCAATTGCGAAGAGTTACTAGTCTCGGAAGTAATGTAGACGATTAATTAATTTTACTTGCTCGGAACCTGATGAAGCCGTGTTCTCGACAGAGAGAATAGAATTGAATCATTTATCTTTTGAAGAGCGTATACCGGTTCTGCGTCCGACAGGGTCATTAGAGTATCGCGTCTTTGGAATATTTACATTAAGAAACACTGCGAAAATTATTTCCACAATTGTGCGAACTTTAAAGCTTCGTGGACAAGTACCAATAAAATGTGAAAATTGGGACAGCTTGTTTCGAGATCAAAGGAATCTGAATTGAAGATTTTTAGATTCCACGTTAAGATGGTCTTTCATTCGTAACACTCAAGTTGATTGCGCAAACATTAACATACATCGACGATTGTGACATGCACAATACTACTAATAAAATTAAAATTTATCTGAAAATAGAAACACTTCCTAGCTGAAATTCTTCAGTTTCAGTTCGTGCTGTCTCCTCGACGACGCTATTCAAACTAATTGCGCAAACATTAACATACATCGACGAATGTGACGTACAGCTCAATCGACGTACATAATGGTATAATGACATTAAAGTTCCATATTCCGCACAGTGAACAGCGGCCTGGAATTGCACAGTGTAGTTAGCTGAAGATAAATTACGCGTGATATGATGTACATGCGTCTCTCGTCCACATAAACAGCTGAAATCCCATGATTATTGTTTATCAAATGCTCGACGCTATTTAACCACTGATTGAATTGTATCGATTTAAATGTTCCACAGTCGTTATTGCGCTTACCACAAGTGGCCATCTGTAAAGGATTTATCAAATTTCGCTAGGATAAAATTATTTTTCCAACTTTTGCTGTAAATTGTGAGGAGAAGGAAGTTCTGGCCCAGAAATTTTTGACTGTTATTACAGAGATAAAAATTCGTCCGACACAGTGTACATCTCGAATACGATTCTGCTCACTATAGATCCTACATTCGACTGGCATAAACCTTCCGTCGTAAAACCCTCTGTTGCGACCTACATTTTAAAAGGAGTTTAAGAATCGTCGAATGGCAACTTCAGGAAGCATCCGTGAACGTCCGATCCTCTTTTACACGTCCAATATTTAGTTGTTGGTCGTAAGCTTCTTACGTAACGTTGACAGATTTCGAGTCAAGGTTTATTTCATAGAAACGCCACTGGAAGCTATCGCACAAATCATCTTGGGAGATCTGGCGCTACTCTTTTGGTTCGCGACCACGGGTTTATAACCTCGAACCAATCGAATCGAGTGCATTTCCATGTTCGTGAGGAACTAGATTGAATCTTCCATATGGGCACGGTTTATACGTAGTTATGCTGAGGACATTTCGTTGCTGGAAGGCAAAGATTGCCAGGAAATTATTATTTCTACATGTATTAAATGTCTGTTCTATTTTTATTTAGATAGCACATATTTTTAGAAAAGTAAAATCATTTGAACCTTAACTTCACCCAGCGTTGTTAAAGGAATTCTTAACCTGAACCAACAATCAATTCAATAGCTATAAAATTATCGTGGCTCATATTTCCTGCATTATTGCACACTTATGGGCTGTACCTGGACTTTTATGACCAACCATGGCAAGATATACGTAACTCTACTTATAGAGAAATCGGGTTTCCGTCGTCATCTATATGGATTATCGACCGCTTTTCTATTTCGCTTATTTCGCCCATACTCGAATATCGAGGAAAGTGCTTAGGGCAGCTATTATCGCGATATCCTGCCAGCTATGCAAGATCGCGTAAAACACGTTTCCTCGTACCGTTCCAGTTTGGACTAAATCTCACCTAAATGTGACCAAAGTGTACAATTATAAAATACTCGATGTAAACTCGATTGTGGCCTATGATGAGATTAAATATTCGGTTAGGATTACCAACCACACTTTTCTAAGAGCACGTGTACTCTATTTAGGGTTCTAAAACAATTTACCCGTACAAATTAAATGAACTCTGAAATAACGAAATAAAAAAGATAGATTTAAAAAATTGAGTCCTCTTCGAGTCTCACCTAAAATATTTAAAAGAATTGTTAAAAATAACGAAATATACCACAAAAGTTTCCAACTGGTCCTTTTTCAAAGATCGCAAAGCAATATCACAAAGGGGCCATGTGCCTGTAATTTGTTCTCCAACAAAAATTGCGTGGTCCTCTGGATATTAGAAATTAGATTTCACGACTAGCTTTATTGCTCGGACCATCCTCCTTTACGCCAATTCTCATTTTCCGGGTGAACGTGCCACGTACATCGATGAACATCGCTTCTTCTCCATAAAAGTTTCCGCCCTTTTTCCTCACTACCAGTTACAACCCATTTTCCAAGCTGGTAATCTCTGTAAAAATTTACTTGAATTTCAACCGTCACACAATGGAAAATCAACCTTGGCGAAAAAGTATCTCGAAGAACTCGACGAATCTCAGACGGTTGCCCACCTTAAGCTAGCGAGAAAAAAGGCTGAGACGTTTGAAGCTGATTTATCGCCGTGGAGTAAAATGATCATGGACCGGAAAATTTACAACCAAGTCTGCCACGCCGTAAAATCTCATCCCAATAATGCGCACCTATAACCATGAAGCTGTAAAGAATTTTAATGAAACCGAGTGTACTATCATAATTACGTCGCTACGCTGCATAGCATTCGAGGGAAATATGGTCCTAAAATTTTCGCATTTTCGTTCGAATTTCTATGCTAACGTTGGAGTAAGTGGAAATATATAGTGCAATTTAAAAGGGAATTTTATTTTATTCTAACTACAAAGTAGAAAACTTGAAAATGTCGTAGTTAAAAATTTTGAATCAATTCAATTCGATCGATTAAAAAACTTTGACTCCCTTTCAAGCAACCTTAAAAATAAACAAAGTTGAACCTTTACTACCATTGCTGAGTGGCATAATGGTGCGAAAATGAAAATACAAAGGTGAAATTTTACTCGTCGAGAGTGATATGCAAAGAGCAGCGATACAACAGAGGAGCACTTACAAGATCTTCGGTTTAAAGTACATACGTGTGTTTATATTTGAGGAAATATACGAAGACACTTTATGCAGAGTTCCCTTGATGGGAAAAGTTTCAATGGCAGGAAAACCCGTGTAAATCTTTATAAAAAAGGAGAAAGGTTGGCTGTGGGAAATTATATTACCGGCTTCGAGAAACGTAAAGGTTCGAGAAATCCAACCCTATGCCTATGGATGGGTGATTTTCTTTAATTTATTACCGTTCTTTATGGATCACTGGTAATGAATTGGTTTTTCGTTCCCTAGGTACGCGCTGGAGTTGACTTTAATTCACCGAGGACTGTTTACATTATTTATTTCATGTTTCCCAACATCGTGCTTATGAGAAGAATTATTCAATCCTGTTTATTATTTAACTGCGCTTCCTCAACGTTATGGCTATGAAAGGGAATTTCGAAAATTTGTTCAGAAATTAGTTTATCACTCCTAGAAAAAATTCTACTTGCTTTCGTTTTGAATCCTTTTCATTTTTCATTTTTATTTAATAGAAATAGATCGATAAAAAGGATTCTATAGGCAAAGTAGCAGATTTTTGCTTTATTGTTTGTAAAGAAAATTGAAAGGATCACGGGAAATCGGACGACACAAATCCCTGCGATCGGTCGTCAACGTTCGGTTGCGAAAGCATGGAGATTTACGTGATCCATCGTTAAAGTGTTCAATCAGACCGTACTTTGCATTGTATTGAAACGATAAATAAATATGTACCTTGATGTGAAACCATAGGAAATAGATCATTAGAATCAAGTATTTGAGAATAACATTAACCAAATAAAAAATTAAATATTGCAATAATAATAAATGAAAGCTGTAGATACGTATACGAAGCTCTAAATTTAACACGACACACATTCTCCATTCCATAAAATTAAAGCTTTCCACAAGACTGCAAATAAATCCCCTTTATGATTAATAATCCAACTGCTAATAAAACATTTGGAAGATATTGTAAACTTTGTTTATGTAGCACTCTCTTATCACTGTTTTGTATAGAACAAATAAATTTTAATCGTTGGCTCAATTTCATTCTAGATATATGGCCATCATGAACCCGTTGAGACCTCGAATGGGCAGAAGAACAACACTCTGCGTAGCAGTCGTCATTTGGATCGTTGGAGCCGTGTTATCGTTGCCTATGTTGCTCTTCTACACAACCTACACGCAGAATTTCGCCAGTGGCGAGGTGCGAGTGATCTGCTACAGCGACTTTCCCAACAGGGACGACAATGGCCTCAGCTACGACGAATACCTGTGAGCTTACCTTAATTACCACGACCCAAGCCTCTACTTCAATATCCCCGATTCGTCCTGACTGGAATCGAAAGAAAAACAAAGCCCCCACTACAGCGCGTTCATTCAAATTCATCGAAAACAATTTTTTGGAACTTTTCGTGCCACCATAAATCTCCGATACGATGAATCATCGGTCTGTTCATCGACAGAAGGTATCACGCGAATAACCTGAAATAAATACAACAATTTGGAATTACTAATTTCACTCGCCAGCTCCAAAGCTGTAATTTTATCCCTTTGAAGGGACGCCAACCGAAACATTTGAACCTGAATATGGATGAATTGTCCCCATATTTCCGCTTGGTTGTCGTGAAAGAAACTTTCTGAAAGCTTAGGGAAATGAAATACCTTTCTTGCGATTTAAAAAATTCGATAGATGAAAAAGTCTGGAAGTCCTCTCGATTGACGACAAGAGTTTTAGCTGCGGAGTTGTACTTTGCCTGAGTGGTATTTTAGATCGGATTTAGATGATTGAATATTAAATTTATCGAGAATACAAATGATAAAGGGACTCTCCTATTAAAATGAGGAAGAATGTCCACTTTAGCGGTGGCACGAAGGTCGAATATGTGACCTAGAGATGCCTACGACTCGACTCGACGCTATAGTTTTAGTTCCAACATTCTTACGAAGTGGGTTAAGTCTGGGGTTGGATTGGAAGAATTTTAATCGCATACAGGAAACTTTGCTTCAACTATGTAAGTATTCCGGAGGTGTCTCGCGCACTACCGACTTTATTTAAATTTTATAATTAACAGGATCCAGAGTACAGGCCAACACTGACGCCTCGGTGGCATTTGAATTAAGGAAGCAACGGATCCACCTTCTGAAACTGATGTTTTCATTACAGTTTTCCCCATTTCAGTAACTTTGTTAACTTCAATTCAACACGTTATTTAATTATGGATATCATTTACAAGTTTCTTTCTTGAAGAGATTAAATAACAGAATAGATGTGTCGTTGCTCTTTTCAACAAATTCCAGATCATAGCCTCAAAAGGTTAATTAATTTTCAATCCGTGTAAAATTTTACAGCATTTATAATGCCAGCCAATAATAGCCAAGAAATAATGTTCTTGTTTCCAAGATAAAATAAAGTTCATCCAATGGAGGATTACAGAGGTCACTTCTGAAATAGGATTTAGTCTAAACTAGGTAAGCTACTGACGAGTTCATCTAACAGATCTGGGACAAAACGCAGTAATATTGCTCTTTGTACCAAAACAATTAGTACAGTCGATTCCGGTTAATTGGGACACATCGGGACCAGAACAATTTGGCTCGATTAAACGGCTGCCCTATTTATACCAAGTTTCATGTAAATGCACGTGGATTTGCTGGTGGATTCTTCGGTTAGACACTTGTTTAACAAATCTTTACTTAGGCGTACCTATCGAATAAAAAAATTAATAATAGCGACACACACTGACGCTGGATGAACTGAAATTGAAATAAATTTAGAAGAGTATTTAAATACTTGTTTTCATTCGAAGAAGATGAATTATTGTTTCCCACATATTTTTATTTTTGAAGCTTCGATGTTAAACTTAATACACATTAATTTGTTTGTTTTCATTATAAATGACATTGTAAACTCCTTATCCTGTCGAGAATTCTATTGATTTGAAGTTGTTATTAAAAATCCGGAAAATCTTCTGGTAGTAACCCAAATCGAAATCCTCGGAATGACGAGTAATAAAAAATTGAAAGTGGTCCGTAAATATCATGGGGACATACGAATGTAAATATCAGGTGCTTCCTAGAAATAAATTGCGTGAAAACGACGTTTTCTGAAGAACCATAAAAGCAAATCCCAGCATTCGCTCATCAACCAGTGATATTCCACGAATGGTTTACGACCGTTAAACGACTGATGGTGAACCTGTCGGTCAAGAGATCTATCATAAAACGAATATCATCCCTCCAGCTACCATTCTTTACGATGACAGGTAAAACTTTCATTGCGCTAAAAGAGAGAGGTCATTAATAGCATTGTTCTCCTGAAAACTGATTTCAACAGTAACGGTAAAAGTGAAACGTTTCGTTTCTTAATAACGGAGGATACAATACGAGCAAAAATGGAATCTATGATTAAAGATGTCTGTGAGATTGAAAGACACTTCATTAAGAATATCTAAAAATAAACAAGTCCTTTAGAAGATAAACTGATCGACTTGGAGAACGTTAATCAACAGAAGAGCTTGATAAACGTAGTGCTTGGTGCTATTAACATAAAGAAGAATTAAATTTCTATAAGGTTCTGTAAGATTTATTATTGCTAGCTGAACAGATGGTCTCCTGAGAATTTAAAATATTTAACTTTAAAGTAACAAACATGAAATAAAAATAATTAACAGAATACTTGGAATTTAGAAATAAATAATACCTTATAACTGGATTCTGTTAATTATCAACGGAATCTTTTGGAATGCTAGTGGCAAATGATATTACGTTACACTTAACAATACACGTATTTTATAATGGAGTTTTCACGTCAGGTGATGAAAGATTCAGTTTTAATTACACTTTGTTCGTCAGTAAACTAATAACAGGTTCGTTCAATGGGCTGCTTTTCATCCTGTCATTTCCAATGAGGGCGTTCGTTTCTTTTAAAAGATATCAATGTCGATGGAATATATACACTTTAAGCGAGCTCGGAATATTCATACATTCGATATGAAAATAAACATCGATCGGGTACGATTTGATTTCTTTGAAAATTAATATTCTAAAAGTGATTAATTTAACAATTGTCGTTAAAAAACTTACACCGATACTCACATCGAATCACAGTTATTATATATCGTCGTGTGTGGAGGTAAAATAGAAAACAATACAGGTCGATATCAGGTTCAAGTTGAAAAATACAAAAGGGGAACGCAATAAGTGGAAATTATCTTTTAATGAGGACTTTGCTACTAACTCTCAAAGGTAACGAAACGATCTGCAATTTCTCGATTTAATGGCTCCGACGGAATACTCTACATGGAACCCTCGCCGGCGTTCTGCGCCGTTACCTTTAATTACAAAGCGGAACTGATAAAAGTGTGCTTCGGAGTCTCATTGAGCCATCGCACAAAGCTATAAGCATCCTTTTACCTCAGTCACAAAACTCCTCCAAACCGAAATCCTTTAAGCTGTCCTGCCTGAACCAATCTTGACAAATACTTCATATATTCTCTTACGTATTTATATTGCGAGTATAACACTGTCCCTCAGGTTGTTAGAAAGTAGCAGTTTAGGCACTAATCATCGCATATTTATGGTAGTGTTACTAACGAATCAATGCCATTATCCCGAAATTATAATTACCATTAATTTCAGAATATCGTTCCACAGACGTGAGCCCCATTTTACACACCTCCATCGTTAGGATTAACGAATAGAATAATGAATCACGTTTAAAAGGACTTCAAACGTAGTAAATAGTGCTTACGAGAATGATCCTACGGTGCGTTCACGAATTACACTTGAACAGGATTACGCTTAAAGTTGATCAGCGTGCAATCGCGTGTTCTTCATCGCAGTGAAATTAATTTATCCCGTGAAAGCGACGAATTAAGAATTGAAATCGCGTTTCCGCTGAGTGTTCGATATAGAATTTAATTTAATACTGAAATATTATCCCGAAATTACAATTACCATTAATTTCAAAATATCATTCCACTGGCGTGAGTCTCATTTTACACATTGTTAAGATTAACGAGTAGAACAATGAATCACGTTTTAGAGGAGTTAAAACGTAGTAAATAGTGCTTATTCTGACACTACCTAATGATTGGTAATATTTTTAAAAAATATCACAAGTGTAATATGACGTCCAAACTTTCATACAAATTATTGGAAAATGTATACTATTTTTTTTTTTTTTTTTTTTTTGTCAATTGCGAGTTGATTAATTTCGATTTTCTCTATTCGCAGATACAACGTGATCTTCATGGTGTTGACATACTTCTTGCCAATTGGATCGATGACGTTTACATATGCTAGAATCGGTTTGGAGCTGTGGGGGTCGCAAAGTATTGGTGAAAACACAACAGGCCAGCTGGAGAGTATACGAAGCAAACGGAGGGTATGTAGTAGTTTCGCTAATGAATTCATAGGTTTCGAGGAAAACCTTCGTTAATTATCGCCAGAAATTAATTGAGGCTCGTAGATAATTATTGTCTAGATGAACCTCAGGTTTGCTGCATGGAATTTCGCTTGTCACGAACTGTTTAGTCTTCGTAAATCTTTTTTAAGCAAAAGAATTTGGATGAATATTGGTATTCGAGGGTTTTTGAGGTCGTTGATTACGAATCTGAGCTCAAAATTCAAAAATTCAAAATTGCGTGTATAATATGCTGAAAAAATTTACAAGAGAGATGTTCAATTTGAATGGAAGTTTGTATAAAGCCTTTGTCCTGCAGATTAATAACATTATTAGTATTCAAACTCGTAAAGTTTTCTTATCAGCACTGTTTCGCTATCTGGTGGAAATTTCCAAGTTTCTCGACTTCCTTTACCTGCGACTCCAACAATTATTAAGTACGAAAGTAAGTATCGAGTAATAACGGAAAGTTAAATCGTTACCAGTTGTCGAAACGTTCTTCGTTTAACTTTTAATCCGTGTTTTCCACGAAACTTCCTACTTTTGTTTCTCGCTGAGATAATAATTTCTATTGTTAAGATGGACAATTCTTTGGATCAAATTTTTTTTCGATAGATAAAGAAGAAACTCTTTGTTCCTGTGGAGTGATATGCAAAAAAGGAATGATGGTCTTATGGATCCTCGTAGAAATGCAAATATGTTTCCCCAGATACTTTTAAGAACCTAGAGAGCATAAAAACATCTTCAAACCCTTTTATCATTTCGTTCCAGGTTTGCCATGCAAGTAGATTTACTGGTGAGGCTTTTATGTAACAGATCCTGCCTTAGACGCGATTAGGAGTTTTACAGGGGATAAACTCCTTTTACAACTCATGATATAAACTTTACTAGTGCGAAGAGGTCTTGATGACACCTAATAGTAGAATTTGAAGTTCTTATCACCAAGCTTTGTAAAATACAATAGTTTATGTATAATCATCGAATTTAATCACTCATTACACAAATTCATGTAATATATGTGTAGAAAATCATCAAATTTGTTTTATACTTTTGTTTTTATACTTTCTCCACTTACTGAAAGATGTATAAAACTCTTCCATTGCTACAGCAATCGTGCTCAACAATACAGTGGATTTTTCCAGCGTGGCTTTCCAAGCAACTCGGGAGTAAATAAAGTAATATCAATTGCAAGGATAACAACGCAACGAGAAAAGTCACGTCAGCGATTAGTTTCAAACGTGAGTCGGAAGAATGTCTAAGCTTATGGCATTATGGTATATCCGTGTGTACGTGGAACACTGGTTGCCAGTTCGAACGCTAAGCTGCGCTATAAGTCGTAATTAGAAGGTCTTTCCAATTGCCTCGCAATCTCGTACATTCATTTTTACCACCTACGCAAAAGAAGATTGAGAATCTTCTTCTAAATTGTATCATAAGCTCAACAGGATTAAGAGCAATTATTCCGAAGGGACATTGTGATTATTATCTGGAAATTTCATGTTATGAATACTCATATTAGAGGAGTTATGGAAGTTTAAGCCATGTTATTGTACCGTAATTCACGAACAGTGCACAGCTGGCGAAGTGTTAACACGTCGAATATTTACCCAGCAAGCATTTAAAGTCTTTCCATTAACGTTGAACGTTGCAGCATTCTAGTATTATCCTCTGAAATAAATCAAATTACTACGTATAAAATACAAACATTCGATACTTTAATGCTGAATTGTAGGTATTAACAGCCTCTATTAAACGTTCTAATTCCTTTTTTCAATTTTCTTCATCTATCTTCGTGTTTCACAATTAAGTATTACACTTTGATCAATCTCTGTAATAATTTCTCAAACTTCTCATCCTCTATCTTTCCGAATTACTCGTGTATTTATTTCTTTTCCTACGTACTGTTTTGCAACTTTTCTTGGCTTATCTCCGCTTCCAAGCTCATTCGTCTCTGTCGAGTAAAAAAGATGGCTCGCACAATTAACACTAGTGGCAAACTACACGCGAAGAATGGCAGCTAATTTGTTCATATTATTCCCTGCGTAATTAATGATTGCGTTGCCCTGTTACTGGAAGTACAGTCAGTAATTAAATGCTAAATAACATCGATTGGCTGGGTTTCATCGCGTGGAGCTGCGTGCAGCAGCCCCCATCCTTCCATGCAGAATTTTAATACCTTCTGCCTCTATTCTCCTAACATATGTTTGCGAAGCGATCAAAATCCTTGTCAGAACGGAGCAACAAAGGGGGCTCGCAGAATAGTTTGCTCGTGCAAAAGCTACCCCCGTTATTTAACATCATATTATTCTGAAGTTTAAAAACCGTATATAATTGAAGTTTAATCGATGTAAAATTTGGAGAGTTATTAGTTAATTTCTATATAATTTATAAAAATTTACAAAATTACAAGATTAAATTGTATTTCTATAATTTCAATATTTTATATGTATTTTCCAAAAGGTGATAACTTTTCTACAAATAATAAATCTCAATCTAGTCGGGCAGAATATTCGTTCGTCTCGGCCATGTTCGATCAATCATCGGCCAAATATTTGATGTCGTCACCAAACATCAAATTTAATTATCGTTTTCAACTTACAATGTAGCAACAATTGAATCAACCAACCAGTCGCTATGTTTATATTTATCCGCGTGCTTTTGGTTGCTCGTTCGCGGAATAACGGACGAAATCTTTTTCACACGATTCAATCATAACGCACCGTAGCGAAAGCTTCAAGTAGCGAATTGAATGCCGCCATAAGAGAGGTCGTTCCAAGTAAAAGCTCTATTAGCTTAATACGACAGCGTGTACTTTCGTAGTAGGACGTTTCCTCGAGGAGCGTAAGCAAAAGCTCTTTTTTTTATATTATATTTCAAAGAGCATTCAATGGGAAGAACATCATCTAAATCGCCTCTCTTCAGGCCAACAAAACGGAATTAGGACTTCCATATTAAACCAACGATTCTTTTAGTAATATAAAAGAATTGAATGCGTATGCACCGGTGAACAAAATAGAAGACAGGACTCTACAGAAGCTTTTAATCTCTGTATCATTGATAAGAAATATTTGATATAAAAGAAATAATTAATTAATGCTAGATGAGATATTAGTAAAATTGGAAGCCACTGATATTAACTGTGATGAAGTACTACTATAAAATATTCTATAGACTCTATTCGAAAGATAGTGCATAATTTATGTATCCCATTTCATTAGCGAATATTATTTTTCTATCTATTGATACTGCAACTCCATCCTCTTTAAGTCCTACTAAAATCTAACGCTGAGAGTATTTCCGCTTGACCCACGATGCATTTGGTAAGAGACTCTTCAGTTAAAATGGAGCAGTCTGACTGGCGCGGTAGCCAGTTAAATGCTAACTCGAGAGATTAATGGTTTACAATAAAATTGCTCGCCCATAGAAAATAATCCGCAACTAGTGAAGGAGACATAGACTGAGAGTAAAGGGAAGTGAAATAGAACTGCGAAATAGCCAAGTGGTATCGTGGAAACTGTAGTTTTGTGACTTTGGTCGGTCAATGTTACCTCCGGCAAGTAGTAAACTCGATAATTATTACCTCTAAAAGAGAATCTCGAGTTTCTATCAAAAACATGCATTTCCTGTCAAATACAAACAAATTCTCTGCTACAATTACGTTTGTAGAACGTGAAAACTATTAAAAAAAAAAAATGAAATAAGCTGCCCTCGAGAAACAGCTAATATTTAAGTAAATTAAACGCCAGGTCAAGTTGGTCGTTTAATTGAATGAAGGTGACGAAAGCAGGAAAAAGGCTAAGGAAGTATTCTGGGCACGTGTCCGAGGAAATTTACAATTCTCCCCGAGCGGCCAAGTGGTTCTATTGGATTACGATTAAACCGCAAAGAGCCTGTGTTTTCCTCCACATGTAGGATCGCTGGTCTACCTTGGTATGCATGTCATGACACTATGTTCCAGTGGTCAACGTCAGTTAACCGTGGAAAGGCTCTAAAGTACAGCTCTGTAGCAACCGTTAATGTTAACAATTTTCTCTCTAACATAAATTAAACTGCTACAAGAAATTCTTAGCGACTATACCTTGCAGGACCAAAAGGAATCTTGGTATTTTCTTATTTGATTTACCAAACACTATACACATACTTTCTTGGTATTGTTAAACTCCGCATATTTATACATTTGGGATAAATAGAATAAAATAAAAATATACAAGGATATGTATTATACAAATGCACAAGTATATGAAATATAAAATATAAAATACACGTTACAACATTTGAAAAACAAAACATACTTCAATTTAAGTATATAAGAATTACTATATAAAGATATGAATTTCATAACACTATAGTTTTATCATTATTATTTCCATATTTGATTCATACTATATTGCATGTTGAAATTTTTCACATTATGTCTCCTTTTACTTCAGTATTTAACACTCTTATGTGTAAGTTTGAAAACAAAATGGGGAAGATGGAAACTGGTCTGTTAGAGAATTGAAAGGAACAAAAGGAAACTTGGAAAAGATATTTAACATTCAGGTTTGGAGCAGGAAGTCGCGAGGGAGTGTCTGCTGGGACTTCCAACGAAAGAATTCCGCTTTTCCCTGACCTTAATTGCACGACTCTTATTATCTGACTGGATAAGAACCGGGGAACGTTCGAATCATAGTGATCCCGAAATGAATTTGGTCACGTTATACCATCGAACCAGGTTCGCACGTTCGTCGTTCCGTGAATGTGATATCGAAATGCCATTCCTTTAAGAGGAATGCAAGAATGCAACTCCGCGGTATTTATTTCCATCCCATATTTTCATCTTTCCATGTGCAATATGTTTAACACTGTATCAGTAAATATCTCGAAAAGTCAAGAATACTGCAAAAATTGTTGTTATCAAATAATAGAGATAGATATACAGATAGATCAAAGGTAGATATAAAGGTCCTAGGGTTTTGCAAGTTCTGAGAATAAAAGAAAGTGTATTGCTTCGTATGGACGAAGAACGCACGTGATAATGACGAAGCCTTGTTGAATTCTTGGCTGACTTGCTGTGAAACCCTAGAAAGCAACTCTCATCTGTTGCAATTCAAATAGAGTTAATGCAACAAGTTTATTTTAATGAAAAAGTACATAGAACTACACGAAGTACCACCCACGTTTTCAATTGCATAAACCTCTAATTAACCCTGACTGAAAAAAACCTGTTTTATACGCTACACTATTTTAATTTAAATAACATTAGTCTCGGTATATTCACAGGAGCTTTTCTTTCAATGAAACACAATTCTAATAAATCAGACATTCAGCATCTAGACTAGTTAAATTACATTTTCATTCGTCCATTGTGAAATTGAATTCTATGAAACAATTTCAATAAAAAATAAATTATAATTTAACGAATTTATTTTTCCTACAATCCCTTACAAGGAGCTCGGGTACCTCGGGTTCGCCAAACCCGTACCGCAGCTGCAACCCAGCATAGCTGCAGCCTCTGAGGACTAAAATCAAAATAAGCTACAATGCACTAATAGAGAATTTTTTGTATAACATGCGAAAAACTAAGAAACGAAACTTATCACTTATCGCCATCTGGCACCGATCGAGGTCTCAACCTGCCTCAACCTCCCTGAAACTGTCTCCACTGCCTAAGGGATGATCCAACAACGAAACTAGCACATAGTTTTGCTATTTCTCTCGAGAAACCCCGCGGGCAAAAACTAAGAAACTAAAGGCATCAACACGAAAACGACCTCAGGGTATCGGCGGCCTTGCACAGCACGAATGCGCCCCGGAAGTCCAGTTACACGAATAAGCACAATAGGAGGTGGCCGAGATTTTTACCGCGACAAGGCTAAGCCACGAAGGAATAAAAATGGCGAAAGAGTAAAAGATGGATTACCTGATCGATGTAGAGCAGTATTTTCTATTATAACGCTCCGATATAATACTGGCAGAATTGACGAACGAAGTACACGAAGTGTACTTCTCTGTATGAAGAATTAGTGAAGCGACACGTGACCTGTCAGTGATAAGAAATTTCTCACCATAGTGCACTTAGGTTCAAGAGTGCACGTGCATGTAATGACACAATGATGTAGTTTTATGGGCTAGTGGTATCGCAAGGCGGAGCCGAACAATGAAGATCTCCTCGTGGCGAAGTTTAAAGTGGACTCCCGTGGCATGAAACTTTACCTTGGAGATGGCCGGTTGACTTCGTTTACCCATTAATTATGGAATATTGTTTAACAGTAGGCGCGCGTGGGTCTGCTCGACTCTCGCTTTTAGTGCGTCACCTGCTTGGAGTAGTTTTTTTTTAATATTAAAGGAACAATTAAATAAACCATTTACCGTGGGTGGAAGATACAAAGTTACAAATTATAAATTATCCCTCCGACGAAGGATTGTTCGTGACGAATAATACCGTTTACCAGGTCTCACCACGTGGAGTGACTCGACAATCGAATCGAGACTAACACCTTCGCACCCTTTAAATCAACCTTGAATCTTGTGTGCTGCATACATCTACCCAAGGCTCGGGTACAGGCAAGCCTAATACAATATGTAATGCCACACGAATTCCACGAGCGTGTCACGGATATTTCACGAGCTCAACTGCAAATCATTGAGATCCGTGACGCGCTGTCAGTTGCAACGAACATGTCGAACGAACAAGTAATTGCTGCGGGTGTTTAGGCTCAGGGTGAATACGGACAGCTTTAATGTAACATGTAACGCAGCACGAACTGCGTGTCACGAATGTTTCGCGAACCCGATTGCAAGTCGGCGTACTCAACTCCAATGCAATGTAAAAATTTGATTAAACTAGGATAATGTTCTGGGTGATTTTAGAATATCCAAATGAAACATGTGTTACGTAATTTGATAATAATATTTAGAAATCCCAATGTATTTAAATAGAGCTGTTTCGGACTGATCGCTCTCATAAATTGATTTAACCGCAATTGTAATTATACGTCGCACGCATGCAAGAGTAATTGCGCGTAAACAAAAAGTTTGCAAGCAAATTGCAGCAATAAATTCGTTACGAGCGAAATCGTCTGTTGATTAGTGGTTCCCCTTTAACGTGAAACGTTCTGCAAGTGGAAGAACCGTTTCACAACCAATTCAAACGTTGTTCTGCAACTTCGAATATGGGCTTGCTAAACAAGTTGTAAAGTACTCAAAATTAACAACTAGTTAATTACCTAGAAAATGTAGACAGATTAAAAAACCATCAAAAATGAGGTTCTCACGAACTACAATTTTCATATAAACGTGTTGCCTTAAAGTGTGATAATTATTTTTAATTTAGGAATCCTTGATAGTGAATGATAAAAGAATTCAAATTTTATATAATTTAAAAGGAATATTTATTAATGAAATCGTAAATAATGTCAACGTTTCATGCTTATATTTTTAATTTATTTAGATTTGTTCCCCGTTTTCTGTAATTGAACCTGATAACGAGAAATGTTCTTCAGATTCAAACGTGTTAATTCGCTCGTTATACTGGTTGAGACAGTCTAAAGTCCTGAACGGTCTTCTCTAAATGCACTACCACACGTAAACATCTGCGTAAATTGTCAAAGACGAAAAGCATTGTGTGAGTACGACCATTAAACGAAATACTGAACGATGCAGTGGATATCGTGTCTAGCTGCATAGTTAACGAACCTTCTTTGTGCTATTGCCGTGATGATACATACATTTCCTTTGATGGTTTATAATGTACAGTAGAAATTTACGATTACTACCAAATGCTGCACTCCATCTGCGCGCGAAGCCTTTTATTATTCATCTTGCAGGAAAGGAAGTACGATATCCAAGAAAACTTTCAAGAAAAATTTTGTTGTAAAATATTATTTATACTTCACTGTAAATAATGGATTACATTTGTTTACTCGCAAAAAATATACAAACACTTACTGTTCTTATTAATCAATGTATCCGCTACTCGAATCGTTGCTTGTTTAAAAAAAATAAAATATTAATTGAACAGGTGTACTATATTAATCGGAAATGATGTTTCAGGTAGTAAAAATGATGATAGTTGTGGTGGTGATATTCGCAGTCTGTTGGCTACCTTTTCACGTGTACTTCATCATAACGTCATACCTGCCCGAGATTACGAACGAACCATACATCCAAGAAGTTTTCTTAGGCATCTATTGGCTCGCGATGTCTAACAGCATGTACAATCCTATAATCTACTGCTGGATGAATTCCAGGTAAAATATCATATTAACACTGCGCGTAAGTACCTTTAAATTAATAAACTCTTAGACAGACACATCCATGCACACTTAATCAAATACAGCAAAATACTTCGAATAATAAAAGGGCAATTGAAGCTAGCCTTAGGAGGAAAGAAAAATTTTTATAGGAAAAGAATAGATGAAGATTCTGTGGAGATAATAGAGGTTTTACAATACTGCAAACGAACACGTAACAAAAAGAGGAGATGGAATCTACTCGCAGCAAAAAGTAGAGCACCGATAGCGACAGTAATCGTCTCTACGCCGTTATTAGACTTTCGCAACTTTCGAGGGTAGTTAGGAATGAAAGAGTTGACTTCGTGAAAAGTTTATCTATTATTTGTCATTGAACTTTAAAGAACTTCCCCGCGACGCGAGAGCATTTTTCATAACATTTTAAACTCAACGCCCAGAACTGTGTAAAGTTAGCACAGTGCGATAAATTGACACCCTTTTAAACGTAATTATCGCCTCCTGTCGCGAGAATATGAAAAAGTATACTGCAATTTGTACAAAAACTTTGCTCGTTTTATTGGAGACTTGTCGAGTGCTATGTATTTCGTAATTAATTTAGCTTTCTCATTTCTGCGTATTGAGCAACTGATAGTCAACTCTCCTTGTATTATTAATTCTTGTTGAATTTGAAAATAATGGATACAGGAGAAAAATTTCTCAGAATAACTCACTTCTAATATCACGAAGGCTCTCTCGTTACAGATTCTTAATTTATTTCATTTTTACTACTTTCACCCACTCCATTCAAAATTATAAACTGTACTGTTATATTATTAATCATAAATGCGTTAATGTTCGTAGGATTTTATTTGTCAAAGAACCGCACGATTCGTTATCTTTCACGAATCCATCTAACGTCAGTTCACCCACAAACCGAATGAAACGTGTCCTAGACGATTGATGCGAAAATAGCCATTTTCCGGAACCGCTTTACACGTCACGCACAGGAATTGTTCCCGAGCAATCCACCATATCCCGGTGTCATCGTTTCGTATCAAATAACTGAAATGCTACGGCTATCGGTAACGAACAATTTTGTCACAGTGGACTGGTAAAATTGCGCGCTACATACCCCGTGCACCGAGACCACACATATGGAAAAATATGTAACCTTCGTCCCTGCGTTTTCCAATCAAACTTTCACGTGTGGTCCCTGAAAATGTGCATCCCGCATTTAAATATGAATTTCCGTAAAAAGGAAATTAGAGATTTCTACACCAACGCAATTTCGTGGGAATTTGATCATTTTGGCTGCAGGCTCGTTAACAAACTAGAGATGAAATCAAAGGATATGAAAACCTGATAGGATGCATTCGAGATAAGAGGAGCACCTCAATTTTGGATTAACAAAATAAAAGTATTTAATGCGGTTCCAATAATTTAAAAGAGTATATAGATGGCTTCGTTCATGAAGAGCAGACAACACTTCCATTCTCTACCCTGACTCAATTAATTCGAATAAAGCTAAAAGAATGTTTTGTCTTTGAATTTCAGGCAAAGAAATTCTGCCTTTTTTTTAAGAGAAGCCTTTGAAAAAGCTTGAAAGCCACTGGTTCGGTCATTGCTGAAAGGAACATTGTATCTTTCAGGTTTCGACGAGGATTCGCTCACTTCTTCTCCTGGTGTCCATGGATACGCATCCCCATGGAGCCAGCGTTATCGAGATCAGAAGCCGTAACGTCTCGATATAGCTGCAGCGGAAGTCCGCAAACCAGGATGTCACGGAACGGTACGTCCTCCTGCACGTCCTCGGAACGTCCTTGCACTACATCGTCCACGACACTCGCGAGCCAATCACGTTTCGAGCACGAAGCCACCCAATCGGACGAACGAAATTCTTACATAGAGTTGCAGGACCTATCGGTATCGGCTAACGTCGCCGTTGGTGAAGCCAATGACGACGCGAATCATAGTAAAGGTAACGCATAGTAGGGCAGCGTTGGGCAGTAATTGGTTCATTTCTAATGATTCCTGTAATTGATCCATAAAAGTGATCACATAGTATCAACGATTAAAAAGAATGATCTGATTTCTTATTAACTTGTTCAATTATGATTTTATGATCAAAAATGTAATCGTTTCATAATTAATGATTGATGTATAATATATAATGATTTTATAATGGTAGAACCAAATGGAGAAGATCATTATAGTCTGAGCAATCAAATTCAAAGAAATTCTTTGATTACAATTATCGAATTAAATTTTACCCCAACGCTGTTAGCGAAGGAATCAAAACGACAATATTGCTTTTAAATACTAGTTTCACTGAGTGATTGTCTGCTTTGATTCCTCGTGTACTTTCACGCGACTTTTTGATCAAACTGAAGGGACCATCGAATTTATCTGGAGCAAATCAAATAAGGGTCGCGCCATACCATTCAGGGCCTAAAATACAAATGTAATAACAATGTGCCTTCGACGAGAAAAGTCACCGAAGTTATGCTTCTACGATTCACAACGACACATAAATTATTCTTTATAAATACTATTAAGTGAACGATATTGGAAAGTATAATGCTTGTATTTTGTCTAACGAGGGAAGTCATTTGATCAGAATACACAATAATAATAGCAAAAATAATGTAATGATGAGTTATATCGATAATAAATTTTCTATGTTATCTAAGTAAAATACGAAACTATTTATTACGTATTTTATACATTTTAGGCCCTGGTTCCATTCACATCGAACGATATCCACAACTCATAAATACCATACGCGTGAAAAGCAGATGAAAGTATTTTGTAAACATATTTTTTTTTCTAATAATTCCAACTCCAATCTTTTGTATACGCTTAATGGAATTTATTTCGAACAATCCTGTACATTAACATTTCGTTCTTGCAAGGAACATCGAAACACCTAACGCCAACTTTTATGAAACTTCGTAGATTTGTAGTACAGCAAACGACAAATGCCAATTATTTTTTAGCTGCGGTAACTCAAGTTTGAGTAGCGAAACTACCCTCCAAAGTGGCGGCGCTCTGATGCTATCTTAGAAACTATTGGGGATACTCTAACGAAGTTTCCTAATCAAATTTACCGATGTTTACACCAGACACCGGCAAATTTCACGTGAGATGAGAATAAGGCGATTATATTCAAAGTTAGATTTTAATCTCTTCTGAGAATAATACGTATACCATTATTTTGATTATTTGAAGCCATAGAGACTTCAAATAATAAAGTTTCCTCGTATTTTCTTTAAAAAAAAAAAAAAGAAAAAACATAACTATCTTATATCTCCAATAGCACCACAGAGAAGAAACTTTGAAGGGTAGTTTCATCCCTTAAACAGTTGTCGCCGATGTTCCCTGTTAAAATAAATTGTACAACTCGATAGAAATCGATACGCATGAATCGTTGTATCGATGCAACCAAGAGCTGTTTATAATTTCGATAGGCACAGCACGAATACCTTTGTACCTGCAACCAGCCAGAGGAGGAAACGATCGTTTTCTGGCTCAACATCGAGGAAGGAAATGGAAAGATACCTCCCAAACCAGAGGGCACGTGTCTTGACAGGAGGAGGTAAATCCTCAACAACAACGAGTACACACCTGGATATAAGAGTACATATCCAAACCAGCAGCCTTCTTCAAGGTTCAATTGATCTAAGAGGTTCCATGGGAGAGAGGGAATACCGATTCTTCTTTGCCAACTCGAGGCTCATTATTGACCAGAAGCTCAAACATCGCTGACGTCGATGAGACAAGAACTATCTGCCGAACACTACATAGAGTATCAGTTTTGATGTAAATACCGTTGAATCGAGCTTCGAAGCAGTGTGAAGACGACAGATAATCGCGCTAGAGTTCCTCCACAACCCCATATATTCCACGTTTATTTAGTATGAACGCTTCACTTCAGCGCAAGTTTCGAATTTGCATTTTCTACGTTATTATACGACGCACAGAGTTGGAAATCAATTTCGTTATTATTTTCGTTGAATCAACTATCCAGGGGAGAAAGAAAGATCAGCGCTGGAAGTAACGACGGACCGTACTGGCTCAGACGATTTAGTCAGTTTCGCGAGGCTTGCCATAAAACAAAAATTGCTACTGTGGTCATTCTTTCTCCTCACAGTGTTCTTATTCGTTGTTTGATCTATGCATAAACAATAACGGACCAATGATCTACTTACAAATATTGTTTCTTTCCTGACAGAGAAGGGTCTGAGAGAAATTACGAAGAATTCATATTGAGAATGTACAGTACAGTACGATATAGAGACTTAATGCGTATTACTTGTTTGTGAAGGATAAGGTGCTTAATTAATTAATATTCGTGTTCCTACCGTGTGTATTAGTGACCGTGATAATCCGTACACCACGAACACTAATTGTCATTGGACAAAGATATTTCCTATTTCAAAGGACAGTAGATTTTACTTTTTTTCGAATATTTCTTGAATGTTTACCGTATAATTTACAATATTTTTGTTTCTGGCTTTGAAACTGACAATACAATATTAACTGCTTTGCATTTAGAAGGAATTAATCAATCTTGTCCTCTTTTTCTACAAACATAATTTATAGTCTATTCTTTTATAGTTAAAAATAAATAAGAAACTCTTCACCTACATTAAATTCTGAAACCAAAATGTTTGGAAAGGTAATATCTTTGGTACCAATTTCTGTTAGGTCATCAATTATAACATAATGCGGAGCAAAAATACTCTGGGAAAAACAAACGCTTTTTACTATACTAGTTAAGTGTACATATAGACGTTACTATATTGAATGTAATGAAAAAGGTTATTGATAAGATAAGAAATGAGTATACTGTTCGATATGTACAAAAATGTGTTAGCGTTAATATGAGAAGCTATTGTTTTTGTTTGTGTACAAATACATTCGAAATTTAATTATATTTCCGATATATGTGAAAACAAAAATGTGTTAGCGTTAATATGAGAAGCTATTGTTTTTTGTTTGTGTACAAATGCATCCGAAATTTAATTATATTTCCAATATATGTGATGCACACACATCATTTTCTCTTCATGAAACTTCAAAGAGGTCAGTTTATTTGAATTTTATATAAATATTCATATTAATCGAAATAGTTCCCATACGACTTTTTATATTTTCCCGAATGTCATTTCATTTCGACTTGATATCGATCTAAGGTATTGAAGGTAATCGAACACGCATCAACGATGTCACAAACTGTTTACATCATAAATTACTTCGCGCGGTAATGTTTTCGCAATTCTTAGAAGAATTAAATGTATACATTTAATCAAGAATGCGATATATTCCAATATGCAATTTATAGTCGAATGGTCTGGAATATCTTCAAATTAAGACCGCCATTTTTACCTCTTATATGTTTAAATAGCTTCAACTTTCATCAAACAGGGATCACAAGTCACCAATAAAAATTAAGTGAAACACAAATCAAAATTGTAATATTAATTGTAAATTATAAAAAAGTGACAAACTTGCAGTTATTTTACAACTGGATTACTCATTGTTTATTTGTGGAACAAAACAGAATAATCTATATTCTCGCAAAACGGTTGCAAACATTTTATGATAAATCTTTAGAAAATCTTTCAATAAATCATACCTCAAAATAAATTCTATTTCCCCAGTTTCGTTTTGTTAAATCAAAACTGTTCTTATATCTTTCAATTAAATGTCATATGAGTATCCTAAAAATTGTAATCTGAAAAATGTACCAATAAAAATACCCTATTTTTTAAATTACTTTCAACTTTTTTATGAATAATTAAAAAAATATATTTTCGATATTAATACTTTTATTGTATTACAAATTAATTTAAATATCAGCCTAATAATTATCTTCTATAATATTTAAGTTGGACTTTTCCATTATTCCTGTTTATCTGCTCCCAAACTGTACACTCAAATGTGGTTGGATCCATCCTATCGATAAAAAGCTTACCCTGAAGTAATACAATAGTTTACATAAACATCCAACATGTTTAAATTGAACTTTTTTTTTTTAATTATATAAAATATTCTTACGATTTCTAATTTAAATACCAAAATAAGACGATATTCTAAAAATAACTTACTTGTAAATGATCGAACTCGTGTTGAGCGATTCTGGCTGCCCATCCTTTCGCATGCCATGAAAACGGTTCACCAATTCTATTAAGAGCTTTGATTTCCACTTCTTTCGCTCTCGAAACTTCCGCTGTAAACCCCACAATACTCCCACATATTTCATTAAGCACAACTTCCATCGGATTCCGAATCGCCATTTGTGGATTAATGAAATACATTAACGGAATCGGCTCCATTTCGCAGATATCTCGAAGCTCTGGATTGACCTTGCGTAAACTTTTATCCGTTAATTCAATAGCAAATATTTGCCAAGGAAGACCAATTTGTGGCGCAGATAGTGCCACCATAGCATACCTTCTCATTACATCGGTTAACTGATCTAGTACCTATAATGAATTTTTATTTTATTTCAATTTAAAAAAGAAAATCGATGTTGACTATTTGATTATGTGTGCGTTAATATAAATTTAACGTATTTAAAGATGAACAAACGATTAGTAATTTTGGTATGATCAATTTTTAAAATAAAATTAACTTGAAAAAAATGACAAATATGCATGAAGTAAAACATACCTTTTGAAATTCCCCCGTTTCAATTACATTTTTATCCACTGGCGTCGCTTTCGTCCGTAAGACAGGGTCGCCAACTTGAACGATATGATTGTAAGGAGGCTTTGGATCCTCAGATCGAAAATAATTAGTAACAGTTTTTCTAACTGTTTTGAAACTGAGGTAACGGGCACTATTAGTCCTGACATTCGATACACACCGATTGATTATGTAAGAACAATTAAACGTTGCGACGATCATTGTTGAAGAATACTTTACAACTTCGTTAGAACAATAAATAGGTTAGTCTCCTATGAAAATATGAATACGTTGATTGGCATTACATGTAGCAAATAACTATGGAGCATCCAGAAAGGCCAACGGTCACTAAGTTGTTCTATGAGCGGATCAGCTTACAAAATTTGTAGCGACCGCTTCCTAGTAGCAGCCAATCTTTTAACTGTAATATTTATTTATTTATTCAAGTGTGAAGCTGTTGAAAATTTAGCTATAACTCTGCTTCGGGTACTACTATACTAATACTTGTTTTAGTATCACTGGCGCCATCGATGGGAACATGTCCAAGTTTGTAACTCACAGAACAGTTTAGTGAGCGATGGCCTTTCTGGATGCGTATGTAGATATACAGGGTGTCTTAAAAATGTTGGAGTTCCTTGAAAGGGTGGTTCGGGAGGTGATTTGAAACAACTTTTTCCTTTGCGAAAATGTCGGATGGAGCTTCGTTGAGGAGATATTAACGGAAAACATTGACCAATCAGAGCGCGCGTATACCGTTGGAGCAGCCGTGGTAACGAAGGTTACGAGCTAAGCGGCCGCGTCCAATGTCCTTCGATGCACGTCGAGTTGCTTGTTCGCGTACAAGCGCGGCCGCTTAGCACATAGCCTTCGCTACCGTGGCTGCTCCAACGGTATAAGCGTGCTCTGATTGGTCAGTGTTTTCCGTTAATATCTCCTCAAGGAAACCTCGGACAACATTTTCGCTAAGGAAAAAGTTGTTTCAAGTCACCCCCCGAACCACCTCTTTCAAGGTGTTACAACATTATTGGAACACCCTGTATTATTTTAGCGCGAGATACAATTATATTTTATTGTATACAGAAACGTTGTCTATTTTATGTATATATTTATTTAATGTTCTCCAATAAATCTGCATGGCCTTTGGCCTCCACTTCCATTTACATCTCCTTACAATCCTTTTTTTGAAAGGAACCACACTCTACATCACAGTTTCTTTACTTTAAACCTTACACTCGCCTTTTCTACTTCACCACGTATTCACCACCGGAAGCGGAAGCCCCAATGTCTATTTTATTATAAAATGCAAAACAGTTTTGCATTGTTTTCATATGTATACAGCAATCTTTTCTTTCATTTATGAACATTAAAATATATTACACAAGATTTCATACGTCCCTTATATTTCATTTTTTTATTTCATTACATTTTGTTCTATATTTGTAAATTGAATATGTATTAAATATCATTTGATGTAATATTATATAAAACCTTTCTTCCTATGATTACGAAATCATTGATTACGTTTGATAGTTTACTCAGTATGGAAATTTGAAAAAAGTGAGTCTCATGTTACTGATTTCGTAATATTGCATAACCTATGTGTTAATTATTTCATTTCTGGTGCAGTATATCATTATTAATATTTAAACTTGGCATATTACATTCCATTATAAATCTGAAGAAACGTTGTATATCAAGTACAAAATCGCAAAGATGGTAAGTATTAATTATATACAATCAACATGTCAATCAGGGTAAAATCATTATTACTATTTTTCTGTCTGACCAGATTAAAAATGGCACATTGAAACTGAGTTATATAGGTAGTAATTCAATGACCTCTCTTAGATATTTATCAACACAAAGTACAAACTCAGGTAAGGACATATATGTCAAATTTACTAATGAAAGTCGAAAGCCAATTGTGTTACCATCTGACCCGATGCCATCAATTCCATTCCCTACTGTGCCTCATCCTGTGCAAACTCCTGTAATAGAAATACCAGGTTGTTTCAGAAGTAAAATCATTTACTTCAACCTATAATACTTCTAATTGAAAATATTAATTCTCTTAAAGATTCAGTAACTATTGATTAAAGATAAATATATAAATTAAGTATACAATAAATCAGCAATATAATAGTTCCAAAAATTTAGGCCCTATTGTTGAACCTACCCTTCCTCAATCTCAACCTCAATCTCAACCTCAACTTGAACCCGAACCAGGTTACAAACCATCTATTGAAATTCCAGTCCCAAACAGGAATGCACACAAGAATGTGCAAGACAACAATGAAGATGACGTATTGTTTAAAGATGTATGTGTACATTCTTCATAGTTAAGTATTATAAAATAACAATATTAGTAAGTATGATATAGATGATTACAATATTAAGTATAAATTTTCTTTGAGATAAGATTGGAAGTAAAGGTGTCATAACATTAAATCGTCCAAAAGCCTTGAATGCCTTAAATCTGTCAATGGTTGACAAAATATATCCAGTACTTAAAGAGTGGGAATCATCTAAGAAATTAGTAATAATAGAAGGTGCAGGTGAAAAGGCATTTTGTGCTGGTGGTGACATAAAATCTGTTGTTATTGAGATAAAAGCAAACAATATTGATAGAGCCAGAACATTCTTCAAAACAGAATATACGTAGGTTACCAAATGATTCTGCAAGCAACATCCTATATATTTACAAATATGCTTAAATAATTGTATTGTCCATGTATTAATACAGATTGGATCATTTGATTGGTACATACAAAGTACCATATGTAGCTCTAATAAATGGGATAACTATGGGGGGTGGTTGTGGATTATCTGTTAATGGTAAATATCGAGTTGCAACAGAAAAAACTTTATTTGCAATGCCAGAAACAGCAATAGGATTTTTTTGCGATGTTGGTGGAACTTATTTTTTACCTAGATTAAAAGGCAAATTAGGAGTTTATCTTGGATTAACTGGAAGTAGATTAAAAGGTAGAAAAGACTATCAATATTAATATTTATGTATACAAATATATGTGTATCATGAATCCTCTACAATAATTTAATGTTTCAATAAAGGCGTTGATGTACTACATGCCGGTATCGCAACTCACTTTGTTCCTTCTGAAAAGTTATCAGATTTAAAGCAAGAATTGCTAACAACGGAAGTATCTAATATTACAGAAGTTCTAAATAAATATCAACCTCAGAATTTAAATCAAGAATTTTGTTTAGCACCATATATGAATCAAATTGACAAATGCTTCTCTGCATCTTCTGTAGAAGAAATAGTAAATAGGTAAATTGACTATAACTAGGGCTGCAACTTGTTAAATTCACACATTTTTACTACTTACACATTGATAATGAACATGTTATGTTATACTTTAATATAGGTTAAAAGAAGATAACTCAGAATGGGCTGAAGAAATCATACAAACATTAATGAAAATGTCACCTGCTTCCCTGAAAATTACTATGCGTGCTATGCAGAAAGGAAGTAATCTTAGTTTAGCAGATTGTTTAAAAATGGAATACAGATTAGCGTATAATTATCCTTTAAACAAAGATAGCGATTTTTGTGAAGGTATTATTTATTAATAATATAATGATTATGACTTAAGTTTTGTACTACATAATCAGGCCTCTATTGAAGTAATGGAAAAATTTTATTTATTGTAGGTGTCAGAGCCCTTTTAATTGATAAAGATCAAAAGCCAGCATGGAATCCAAAAAGTTTAGATCAAGTGACAGATACATATGTAAATCAACAATTTGCACTTTTGACAGATGGACAAGAAATGTCACTTTGAAATTATGTAAAAGTGTTTTAATGTTTTGTATTTTTTTTTTATTGTCAAATTATATATATATATATTTTTATATAATTCTTTATTGTAATCTTGTTAATAATATTTGACTACATTTAGTACACTTTATTAATATTAATATAACTCGAATTTGATATCCACCCCTAATTCAAGGTTTTAAAATTGCAACATTAACTAGCACGATATATAGAAATCGTATTAAATACAAAAGAACAGTAGTTATGTAAAATAACGAGCAGAACACCATAAGTACTTACAATTAATATATTGATATATAAAAAAATTAATTTCCAAAACCATTAATTTTGACATTAATTTTCTAAAATCAAGTTTACCTATACAGAGCTATACAATAAATCTATGTAATTTCTACCTAACTAGAGGCGATTTGATTTAAGGTTTACGTGAATTTACAAATATTATTAACATTATTTTAATTTACTACGAAAATCTCACCATGTATATAACAATAATATCATAATGGATTACATTTACTTTCACCTGCTTTACAAGTTATATTTATATTGCTTTTAACCTTAAAATCAGCAATAAATTCTACTAACAAGCAACAAAAATTTATGGAGAACATGTTATACATTACACGTATAATATTCACAGATTAACCTCAAAAATAGTAACATACGAAGCTATGTTGATTTATTAACATAATTTAAGGTCCTGAAAAGTTCATAGAACGTAATGTAACTTATAAATATACATAAACAAGTATTTTTCATATCAATTAGTAATATCGCATATGAGCAAAATGTTGGAAATAACAAAAAATAACATCATAAAAATAACTTTGAGAAACACTTGGGATTCTTAAATAGTTTATTATTTTATTTATCAAAATGTTTATATCATTTTTCAGCATGTCAAGTACTTCCATAATATGATTTGCAAAATGATAGGAATCCACAGAACTCGTATGGAATTTAAGAAATTCATGTAGAATGGTGTTGTAGGCTCCACACATTAAAATGAAAGAAATTAGTCCTATCACGTATTTATATCGTATTTTTAAGATATCGTCTTCTTTACTTATTTGCACTGTTTTGAATCTGTTACTGCAGTTCATATCTTGGTATTCCTTTCCTACTGCACAATTCACATGAAGGATAATTCACCTTTAGTACTGGCATCCAGTATGAATTGGTGAAGGGGAAATGTAATAAACTGCTGAGAATTGGAGCATTTAAATTATCATATGCATTCAGTCAATATATTGAGCGAGCCAGCGGAAGCCCTCACCATACCCCTGTCTTCTTAGCACCGAGCACATAAACAATTCAAGTGGACGACCAGGTAATTCACTGCGCGAAATTTTTCCCTAAAATTCATATATTTTATAATACTTACATGTAATAAATAAAATGTAATTTTTCGTTTATCATACTTACTTTTCCAGTTGTTTGACCAAAAAGGTTAAAGTAATTCCTCAATTCATCTTCTGATGCTGCACCTGGTTTATCAATTTTATTACCTAGTACTAAAACTGGACACGCACTAAGTTGTTCATCTGTTAACAGTGCATCAAATTCAGCTTTTGACTCTGCTAATCTTGATCTGTCATGTGCATCCACAAGGAACACTATTGCATCTACTGCTGGAAAATAGTCTTTCCAAACTCTTCGTGCTGTAATGTATGTATTTCTTTGTGTAAATCTAACTTTTTAAAGTTTATTTAAATTCACCATAATAACAGCATAGTCATACCTTGAGGATGCCCTCCAAGGTCAAATGTTGTGAACCTCATATTCCCAATAGACAGTTCTTCTGATGCTGAAGCATAAAATGACATGCAGTATTCTTAGAATATGTATATAAAGTTTAATATAATGAATAATGATGAACAAATATTTATGTTGTAAAATTATTAAATAATGAGCAAAAGCCTACTATGTGATGGATATTCAACAATTATACAATTTAAAAACAGCACATACACTAAATCTATTTACTTAAAATGAAGGTTTTTAAAAATTAGTTATTGTAAGCAATTAAGAATTTTTTGTTGCAGTAGGTTCAGATTTTTGCATAAAGTAACAATATATATAATTTTATTATATTTAAGCATATCTACTAAACACTGCCATGTATTTATGGGTAACACTGTCTCTGCAAAGTACATATAAGTATCACCTACATATTAATGATTCAGCAGTCAAGGTATGAAAGATAAAGATTAACAATAACATTACCCCTTTTCTTTATAAACAAGGTAAAGCATTAAATCTAAAATAATATATATAAAAAATAATCGAAATTAGAGTATATGAATATTACTTTCAATCATATGTAGAAATAAGTTAATATAAACATTGATTACTTGGATGCAATGTAGGCACATGTTGTCCTAGTCGATCATCTTTGAGCCTATGAAGCAATGTAGTTTTACCTGCATTGTCTAAACCAAGAAACAAGAGCTTACCACTCTTTTTCCAAAGCCCTAAAAATAGAAATCATAAATCATGCATAATATTAAATATTGAAATGTTCATATAGAATATATCTATATGTAAATTTAAAACTGTATCCAAAAAATCATTAAAACTATGCTCACCAAGATAATTCAAAACTCCTGCGAACCAGTCCCAAATGAACATATTTGTAGATATGAATGGATATCAGGTCTACTATGTACTAACTACTGAATGACTCTGCAACAATAAGAAGGTGAGAAAATTATCGTCTGCAAACTATTGTATCCTTACAATACAAACGAGTTTTTTGAACCGATTGTAATTCGGCGCACTCTAAAACGTACATAAATTACAACATAACATAATCCATCAAAATGGATAGCGAGGATAGGTAATAACAAAGAACGATTTCGAAACAAATAAGAAATCAGTACCGTTTGCACTCTAAGCAAACATGAAATGTAGCATATGATCAGTACACGATTACAATTAGAATGCGACAGACTTACCAGATCTCTCCCACTAATAACAGTAATACAATCTTTCGTTCACCACCACCAAAATGCAGAATTGCAGACGGGTTAGAAAAGCGTTCGCATGGTATGACTACGTAAAACCTGTTACTTCGTCACTGGACTAACGTACCCAACGTGAAAAAACACACGAAGATGCAGGAGACGAAGAAAAAATGCTTTTCTTCCAACAGAAAGCGCAGCTTTAGCGAGCCTGGTTGGCTGGCAGTTGGCACTGATGACGTCTACTTCCGTCAGCCATATTGTTTGAATAGTGCTGTTTCATAAGCGCGGATTTTAAGGTCAATTACATCTAATTTTATTCAACTCTCAGCTGCTAATTTATACATATATTGTAATATCTTACCTTCAATAATACTTGCCGATTCTTATATGAATTAAAATATTTTAATAATATGGAAATGTATATGTGGATGAAGTATTTATTCTGCTATAGTTGTTGAAAAATGTGTGTATGACTATTCAAAGTGTGGTTAATGGAATACATTTATTTTAAATTTTCAATTCTCATCGTATAGTTATATACTGTAATTGAAATTTCAATATCCCTAGGGTGTGCTTAGTTTGGTGACTTTAGAGCACTTTAGAGATTGTCATCCATAACGACCATAACCTATACGTAATCACATTGCGCGAAACAGTGATCATGTCGGCAGGTAAGACTTATTCATACATTTGTTAGAATTTAATTTTCTTAGTAGAAACACGAGTGTATCAATGATAACATTTTTATTTGTATACTATGTCATAAACTTGCACATATCTATTTCAAAATTCGTTTATAACCTCATACGAAACATTTACACATACATTTTATTACATTATATTCTTTTTTTTATTACTTTATTTATAGGATGGTTGATAAACAATTTTCGTTCAACATATAGTCACGCTGTTGGAAGGAATGTGTACTCTTGTTTGTTTATACAATCCAGAGATTATGCAGCTAGAAAAGGTACAAGAGAAAAAGCTAGAAAGAAAAAACTTAAACTGGCAGCTCAGAAAGTTGGATATAATCCTGAGTCGAAAAAGAAGAAAATGTGAGTGTATTAATTGTCGTGATCCTTGTTAAAAATTTTGACTGGTCAGGGATATTTTTTTGTTAGCTAAGACTAACCTTTTTTATTCAATTAAAATCAATGGTCTGACTAAATACCGAACAACTAAGGAACAAACATAGAGTGATTAGTTGACAGACCATTAACAAAGGCATGACGTATTTGACTCTTAATAACCTTGACTGGTTGACATTTTTGAAAAAAATTGTAATTTTTGTAGTAATTTATATTAGTCTTTAATTATTAAATAATGAATATAAAAAAAATAGTTCAAAGGAAAAATTACAAACCTCACCAATCACTATAATAAACTATGAAGATATGAAAAAGGAACCAAGTGATGACGTGTGGTTTTTGAAATATCATAAGCCACCAGTGTATTCCTTCAAAGAAGCTATAGAATTCCACCGTGAAACACATCACCCAACCATGTACAATACACCTAATGCAAATGTTTGTGCACATATTGGTTTAAATTTACAGGTGAGGAATCACAGTCTCTATCTTAGTCCTGTCATTCAGAGCATCTAAAGTAAAGTATTCAAAGCATTTGACAACTTCATCTTTGTCAAGCCTTATTGGCATTGCCTTTATCTAATTAATAATTAATAACAAACATTAATAATATTTGTTATTATTATTACTGCTATTTATGGATGTTATTGAACTTTATAATTATTGTTAATTTTGTCAAAGTAGTATTATATATATTAATAAGAGAAAAAATTCCACCTGAAGGGTAAATAATTGGCAGTCTCTGAATTTAACTTTTTCATTAACTCTGTCATAATGTGATAAAAATGTTATATATCATTTTTATAATAGGCTGAAAAGAAAACAAAAACAATGTCCAGATTTACAAAAATTATTAATACGCCACATTTATTCGATACTGGCAAAAAAAGATCAGTATTAGCTTTTAGTAAAAAAGCACAAGATCAGGAAAGTGCTAAAGAAGCTGGAGCTGATTTTGTTGGTGGTATTGAATTAATTAAACAAATTCAAGTAAGTTAATATATATATGATTAAATCGAACAATATTGTAAAATACTTTCTTGTATATGCTATTTAATATTAATTATTA